CTGGGGACAGTGAGAGAAAGAGGAAACCTCTGAGGACCCAAATGACCTGGGCATTGGAGACAGCCTAGCTTCCCCCACGGGTGTGGGGGTGGTGGGTCGGGATGGGAATTACCTTAGTCCATTTCGTGTTGCTGTAACAGAATATCTGAGACTGGGTAAATCATAAAGAACAGAAGCGTGTGTAGCTTACGATTCTGTAGGCTAGGAACTTCAAGACTGGGCAGCACATCTGGCAGCTTCTGGGGAGAGCCTTGTGCTGCATCAAAGCATGGCAGAGAAATAGAAAGGGAACCCAGTGCATATGTAAAGGGCAAAATAGAAGAGGCAACCTCGCTTGGTAACAACCTGCTCTCATGGGAACTCATCTGTTCCCATGAGAACTAATCCACTCCACAGAGAACTAACCCAGCTTCCAGAGAGAGATATTACTCCATCTAAAGGACTTAATCACATCTCAAACGCACCACCTGCCAGTACCACCACATTGAGGACCAAGTCTTAACATAAGTTTCGGTGGAGCGAACCACATTCTAACCACAGCAGGGGTCCAGGGGCCGGCGGTTAGATTGCACAATGAGGGTGCTTAGCATTTCCAATGCTGGGTATAAGGACTTAGACTGCCTTCTTTCCTTGATTCTAAGAACCCAATATTTGTAAAGAGCCACTGTGATTTTATGACAGATTTGGGGAGAGAGCACACTAGGCCACTGCTATAGCTGGAATATCTGTCCCCTCCAAAACCCAGCTTGAAATTTAAGCCCCAATGGGGCAGTACTGAGAGATCACTGGCTCATGAGGGCTCTGCCCTCATAAATGGATCCATTGATTATAATGGATTAAGAGATGATCGTGGGAGTGGGACTGGTGGCTTTACAAGAAGAGAAAGAGAGACCTGAGCTAGCATGCGAGCACACTCAGCCCCCTCACCATGTGAGGCCCTGTGCCACCTCGGGACTCTGCAGAGTCCCCACCAGTAGGAAGGTGCTCATGAGATATGGCCCCTTGACCTTGGACTTCTCAGCCTCCATAACTGTAAAAAACAGATTCATTTTCTTTATAAATTATCCATTTTCAGGTATTCTGAGGAACAGAGAACAGACTAATACAGCTATTAAATATAAATAGGTAACTAACAAGGGCATCCCACTTTCAGAATGATCAAAACATTAAAAAAAAGAAAGTTGCATCTTAGAAAGGTTTAGGAAGGACAAGAATCATGCTTCCAGGAGAATGAGGACACCTATAGATAATTCTGAAGGACAAGAATCCTGCGTCCAGGAGAATGAGGCCACCTATAGATAATTCTGAAGGACAACAATCATGCTTCCAGGAGAATGGGGACACCTATAGATAATTCTGTGCTAATTTGGAGCAATGGCCAAGAAGTTACGCTGAAGGTCAAAATCTACAAGCACTGAGAAGAGAAACAATGACCTTTGGGTCCTTAGGTACCACAGCTCCACTAAGGTAGCCTAAAATTGAAGGAGATTTATGGGAAAACCCATCAGACTGTTGATCTATATTAAGTTTATTATGTCTAAACACCTGAACTGCAACCAAATCTGTACTCTTCTATACCTGTGGTACTGATTTTAAGATTAATTTACAATAAATTCTACTTCAGCTTTGATGTTGTAGCTTGTCAAGACGTTCTGAATCTTGAATGAGCACCTCTGGTGTTTGTTATCTCCGATAGCTGCATGGCACCTGCAAATCTGATAAGCATACTTCTAATTCTTCCACCACAAGGAATTCATTGTCTATGCTATGATACAGTTCTGATAAAATACTTGCAGGTGTTAATAAGTCACTGATTATCCTCTATCTGACACCTCTCTGGAATATACTTCATAATGTTAAAAAAATCCTTTCCTGAAATGCAGCAGGATAAGAAATTAGGCATAAACAGGCAACCCTGTTATTTTTTCCCTGTGAGATTAAATGTCATTTATTTACAAAGACTTGGATTTTAGAGAATTAACTTCTTATCCTTAAGGCTAAGACAGCCCTCAAAATTAAAAAACAAATACATAAATAAAAAACCTCCTTGGTGCCTTCATGAGCGACAAGAAGAGGCAAGCCCTTGAGAAGCTCAAAGTATTTACATGTCTCTTGCCTTTGGGCGCGCTTTCCATTCTCCATGAGAATCACAAAATTGTAGATTCTTTAGAGACTACGTCTGTAAGTCCCTTAAGGGCACTGGATCCTGTCTTCTGTATTTGAAACTTAAATTAATTCAAAGCAGCTTAGTGCTTTCTTCCTATCTCATCTTTCTTGGATTAGATTTTGGGTTTACTCTTGTTTTCTTGCATCTAGTTCAACAATGCATCTTGTTACAGAAGAATTTAGTAAGAAGACAGGCACTGGGAAGCTCTCTCCTTTTGGACCTTACATCACACTTGGAGCAGTGACTCCAGCCCTTCTTTGCTCCTGGTTGTTCTATAAGTAGATGGCAATTTAAAAAAAAACTGACATTTGTATTTGTGGTAAATTTCCACTCCAGATTTTTCAAAAACATCACCACCGGGCAAGGCTCCCGGTCCTCCCGTGCAGTCACTCCCGCACGTGTGTCCTCCCATGCCCTGTGTTCGCGACCCCCGCCCCCGACCCTCCCTCCCCCGCCCTGCACCACGCACTCTCACTTTGGCGGCGGCGACCTCCGAAACCTCCGACTCCTCCGAAACCCTCCCAGCGGCACTGGGGCTCCCCGGTCTCCCCCACACCAAGGGGCGCCTCCCCCGGCCTGACCCTGCGGAACCCTCGCAAGCGGATACCGCCTGCTCCGTCCCCTGCCTCCCACCCTGACCGCTCACCAGCTGGGTACTTGTCTGCGGGGTGCTGGGGCGCCAGGGCTGAGGCCACCCCGCAGGAGCGGCTGGAGAGAGGCCGCGCGCCCGGCGTGAGGGGCGAGGGCCGAGCCCCCGGAGCCGGAGCCGCCTCTCCAGGAAGCTGCTCAGGCTCTACCCTCATCCCCTGCAATCCGCTTCCTCCCTGACACCAGGGTGATTCTCTGGGAGTAAAAATGTGATTCCCACCTGAAGGCCTTTACTAGCTTTCCCCTCCATTAGGATCCAAACTCCCAGCTGTGCTCCGCAGCCCCAGCAGCAGCAGACCCGACTCACATGCCCGTGTTTCCCTGACTCCTCCTCGGCCCTCAGCTCCCGGCTCCTGGCCAGGCCTCCCCAGCAGTCAACACCCTGGTCAGGTTCCGTCTCAGTCCCCTCGGAATTAAAGACCACGGGCAATGGGATGTTGCCTGACTCATTCTTGGTTGTTTCTCGGATGCTGAGAATGGAGACTGGTCAATAGTAAAACTCAGGGTTTTCTGACTGAAGGGCCTCTCTGTCCTCAGTAAGTGTTTTTTAGTGGAACAGATGAGTGCTGCTGAGAGCTGACTGGGGAATGCCGCTTTCTCTATTTTTCCCAGCCCGCCTTCCTCCTGCACTCCTCTCCCAGCCTCCCCAGGTCCCCCAGGCGGAGCCCTCCTGGCCCTGCCTGTGCGCGGGGCTCTGCTCTAAGGCACCTCAGGCAGGGAGCAGTCACTGAACTCCCAATCGTTCCCAGCCCCCAAAGCACATGGCCAGACAGGGATTCTGCTATCACTTGGCAGGGGATGCCTTTCTGTGTTATTGGCCAAGTATATGTAATTCCCAGAACAATTCTTTGTAGATTAACGGATGGGTAGTTAATGGGATCACAAAATTGACGCCTTAATAACTGAAATATATGATGCTGAAGAGTCACTCAGATTACTTATCCAGAATATGATTCATTATTCTTTTTTTTTTTTTTTTTTTTAACAGTCTCACTCTGTTGCCCAGACTGAGACTCTGTTGCCCAGTGGCGCAATTTCGGCTCACTGCAACCTTTGCCTCCCAGGTTCAAGTGATTCTCCTGCCTGAGTAGCTGTGACTATAGGCATGTGCCACCACACCTGGCTAACTTTCGCATTTTTAGTAGAGACAGGGTTTCACAATGTTGACCAGGCTGGTCTCCAACTCCCAAGCTCAAGTGATCCACCTGCCTCAGCCTCCCAAAGTGCTGGGATTACAGGCATGAGCCACTGTGCCTGGCCAGAAGATCACTGATTGTTCTACAAAGTCCAGAAAAAAAGGAAATGACCAAATAATATTACACATCTGGAGACATAATCAGAAGAAGAGTCACAAATAAAGGTGGTTAAGGTCCTTTTGTTTCTATTCATCCCCTCATTTAATTTCTTTTAGTGTTTTTGTGTGTGTGTGTGAAACAAGATTCTAGGTGCTAAGGATTCACAGATGAATACAATTTACATTTGTACCGGGGGTACATACAGTCTGAGAGGGAAAAATATCACCTCATATAATACGGTCCCAGTATAATCAGAATTCCAAGGAAAGGGAAAAAATGCATCTTCCAATGTACACATGGACAGTAAACAGCACAATGTACAACTTACAGCTAACTTAGTGTAAGGTACCTCACACTTTAATTTAAAAATCTTTAATATTAGAATGCATCATTGAAATTTAAGCCTTAAAATTAAGGACTTTTCAGACTAAGCATCACAGAGATGCTAAGCATACTGGCAAAACATGGCATGCCGTTTAGTTTAATGAGACAACATAAAAATTCAGACCAAGAAAATAAATATTCAGAAGCAAAGGCTTTTTAGAATTGAGACACGTTGGAATGCCTAATCTACTACAGAGCTTGTTTCTTCATCTGGAAAATGCGGATAAAGTGTTTTCCTTGTGGGGTGGTTATGGGGACTAAATGGTAGATTACCAGGCATATAATAAAGGGTAGCTATTTTTCAACACATGACTACATGCTAAGACTATGATTTAATAGGCTGGCAAAAGAAAAGATAGGGAATCAGGAAGAAAAGAAGCAATAAAAGGTTCGTTACTAACAGAGGGTGAGTTCTGAAAAAGCAAGAAGAGTTCAACTTATCCAGGATGTCATAAACGCCAACTATCACAACCCAAAGGACAATATGACAAGATTACTGTACCTACCTGTCCAGTCTGATAATGTCTGGCAAATTGGTTAACTACTCGATAATCATTTGCAAAGTACTCCATCAGAATAGAAGGAACCTCAGCAAAATCAGTAGGGCACCTGGTCCCTAAAACAAGAAAAAAAAAAAAGTTGGCATGAATCAAATCGATATATTTATCTTACTTTTTATGTACCCTTTAAAACTTTTATTTGTACTTCTGATGAACTATAAGTTTTAATTCATTAAATCAATATTTTTCTTCTATAAATTTACTGTACATATTTGCAGAAAAGTTTATTATAATCCTATATATTTTCCTTTATATCAAAATTAAAACAAAATATTTGCACAGCTGCCAAAACACCTTATAAAGCAATGGCTCACACCTTTTACAAACAAACCTGTCTTCAGCTATGCTGGCTATACATGAAACAAAGTAAAACATTTCTAATATTAATATAGCGTTTGTATTTAATTCACTAAATTCCATTACCTAATACTTTTATCCTTCCTTTGTTTTACAAGTACTTTATTTTATTCATTTATCGCTTTTTGTAACAAAGTCAATTCTCAGTGAGGAAAAGAAATATTTTAAACTCAAAATTACTTAAAGTAACAAATCCTGTAAGAAATTTAGATGACATTTAATGATTCTGTTCAGCCCACCTACAGTCTTTTCAATGCCTTCTCCTTGTCCAAAATACTGTGTGTAAAGTTAATTAATAAAAGCTGGATACCAACGATTCACTAGTGGTCTAATGCTGACCATATGTGATAGGAAGTTTAAGACTTAAGGATAAGACAACGAAGAGGAAAGTCTGTAATATCATAAAATATGGCCACATATTTAGCAGCATAAAAACTACAAAGCAGAATTATGATTTTATACAGGGGAAAGATTAAAAGGACTTCATCATACTTTTTAAGCATGCTTTATTTAAATTAAAAGCTAAAAGGACTTCATCATACTTTTTAAGCATGCTTTGTTTTCTGATTTTGAATATAGAGACCATTCACTGACTTATTAACTCTGTGGAAGGTATTAAGGAGATACCTTTTTATTCACACACACATAGCCACAAACTTAAATTCAATATAAAACACTGTAAAATGTAAAAAGGGACAAACTTGAAAGACAACTGAGATTATTCCCTGGTGAAAGCTGTTAGCAAGCATGGAAAAAAGCACTGGAAGATCAGGCTGCACAACTACGGGGAGGATAGGATGAGGCAATCTGTGATAAAGACCACAGGACATGGTAAAATGATCACATTTTCCAAATGAAAAGCCCCTTTCCCAATTTAAAAGAAAATGCATGTTTGTAAAGAATTGTAGTAAATAAAAGCCCTCCTCATGGCTCACCAGTGACGTGTTGGTAACGAGTACGTCCTAGCATTGAATGCATGGCATGTCCCATTTCATGGAAAAGATTTTCCATCATGCCAGGAGTTAGCAAAGTTGGAGAACTCCTTGAGGAACGGGGAAGATTCAGCATAAGAACTACAACTGGGAGTTGATAGTCTCCGTCTTCCTTTAGTCTGCCTCCACGGATAGTGAAATGGCAATCCTTTAAGAATCGGAAAACATAAAAGGAAAAGAAAGTATTTGGTAATGTGAAGAGTAAAACAGTCTTAATGAATATAAAATTTCACCAAAATGTGTGAGTGCAAACTTTAATTATATTCTTATTCTATCTATGTACATATATACACCTTTTCTTGACATTTTTTATTCTGCTAAAATTTTAATTTTTTAAAACATCAAGAACACATTCAGTTTATATGGATTAATTCATTAATTTGGTCCCAAAATATGCATTGAAATGATGCTGTGCCAGATGCTGGAAACAAAGTCAGCAAAGAGCTTAGGAAGGGACACTAACATTTATTCTGAGTCCCTACTATGTGTCAGATAATGAACTAGTAAGTACTTTCCGTGTCTCTTGGCTATTTTTTTTTTTTTCATTTTTTAAGATAGGGTCTTGCTGTGTTGCCCAGGCTGGAGCGCAGTGTTGTGATCACAGTTCACTGTAGCCTGGACCTCCAAGCCATCCTCCTGCTTCGGCCTACTGACTGGCTGCGACTACAGTGTGCTCCACCACACCCAGCTAAGTTTTTAGATTTTTTTGTAGAGATGGGAGTCTTACTATGTTGCCAGGGCTGGTCTTGAACTCCTGGGCTGAAGTGATCCGCCAGCCTCGGGATTACAGGCCTGAGCCACCACACCCAGCCTCTCTTGACTTTTATCAGTTGAACGAGATGGGATCTAAAGTAGTGTAAAGCAAGGGATCCGGATCCAGAGTAACTTACTCTGAAATAGGCACTACACTGAGACTCACATACACTGTATCACTTATTCTCCACAACAACCCTCTGTAGCAGGTATCTCACTTTTCAGATGATAAAACTAAAACTAGTCTTAGAATTATTAAATATGTCCAAGGACACCTAGCTAGAATTGCCGCACCTTGGATCTGAACCCAGGCTGACTATTAGGAGCCAGGGCTCCTAATCACTAAGTTGAGTCTCCACCACCCACCCATTTAAGCAAAGAGGAAGAACACTGGCCGCAGAGTCTGGTGACCTGCACCCCGTTCCTACCTTTCACACCTACTAGCCAAATCATCTTGGAAAAGAATTTGCCTGTGCAAGCCTCATCTCTAAAATGCTTCCTTGTCAAATCCCACAGTGGCTGTCCAGAATTCATAAGCTCACATCTGTTAAAATCTGTGCTTTGGAAATTGTGAATCACTATTCAAACATAAGATACGTTATTTCTGTTATAACTTATAACCTAAACTCTTGACATTTCCCATCAAGCTACATGAAACTGCTAAAGCTGACTGGCTGCCAAAGTCAGCCAGCGCTACAGAAAAGGAGATGAGCTGCCTCAAGTCTTCCACATAAGGAGCTACTTGGTGGTTGGTAAGGTTTCCACACGGAATATCTTCTGCAGTTTTAGAATAGGTTCATTGTCTAGTATGGAAAAGAGTTAAAAGTTGGGGATCTGATCGGGAGGTATGTCTTCAAGTCCTAGCACTTCTGACCAAGTAGCTTAACCTCTCTGGCTTCATTTTCCTCATAACGTGAGTACCTAGTCAAAACGTTGAGGTGAACACTAAAAGGCTGATGTGTATAATGGACTCAGTGCACTGGTTGGCACAAATAAGGATTCATAAAATGTCAGCTGTCATTATTACTATAATTAATACCATGACCCAGATAAAAGTGACAAATACAGACTGATGTAATTATTTCCATAAACTTTTTCATTTTAAAATGCTATCTTAATTTCAAATGTATATATTTGGTAACCATCATTAATAACTTTTAAATATCATGGAATTTAAAAAATGATACAAAGTTCACATTAATACAAAAGAAATGCTGATCAGTTCTAGAGAGAACAGTTTATAAAGAAAGGATCACCTGATGTGGCTTGTCTGCTCGCTGAAAAAAATCACAGTAAATGTACCCCAACAATCCCTCAGATTCATGAACGACAGCCTAGAAAAAAAAAATTTAATTTGGTGGTAAATTAGGCCATCCGATTCTCTAAAATCCCTAGCACAAGAATCTGTATATTAGACATCCACAGCCACACATATAGACACTTTAATTACATTCGACATCCCATATTGTCTCGGGATAGATTCTCTTTTCCCCGCATCCTCTTCTGCTCCATCTCTTGAATGATTTTGGTTTTGGAATTCTGTGTCCAGGAGAGGAAGTCCTCCTCATGAGGGCCTTCTGTCCTGACTGCCTGTCCTCTACAACACCTTTACTAACCACCACAAGAGTTGAGAAGAAGTGCTGGCTGGACAATTTTAGGAGCAAAAGTATTTTTCCTTCAAATCCTGGAATGTCATGATAACCCTCGAATTTGAAAACACCACAATGCAGCTCCCAGCTTGAGTTAAAAATCAGCAATGTCACTATCTATCCCCTCTCCAAGAGGCAGAGCTCACAGGAGAGACTCAACCGCTCCTCTCCATCTTGCCTTCTTTGTTCTTTCAGAATTTAATGATTCCATCAAAGAGAACCCCGATTTTGTGCTTTAAATTACCTGCAAGTATATATTCATTGTTCATCAAACATCTATGAAGCACCTACTTGGTGCCAGGAACTGTTCAGGACACTTGGGATACAGAAGTGAAAGCAACTGACAGCAGGGCTGGACGCCGGTGGAGTGCACATTCTGCAGTTCTGAGGAAACCTCTTCATCACCCGCATTTTGTCCTCTCAGTCTCCTCTTATAAGCTTTTCTTTTTATTACAGCTCAGCATTTTATCAATCTCTATCTTTTTTGGAAGTTTGTAATACAGATATTGAAGTAAATCAATGCAGTGATGAACGTCCTCCCACCCTGACTCTCCTTTCAATCCCACCACCACACCTACTCTCCACTCTAAGACGTGGCCGAGAGACAATGAGATTGTTTACATTTCTTAAAATATAGTGAAGAAAGCAGTGTGGTAAGCATGCTAGCAAAAATCAAACAACAAAACAATACAATGCCTTAGTGACAAACACAGGTCAACAAAGCCTCAAATCCTATGAGGAAATATTTAAAATATTCATGACTCAAATAAAGTGGGCCTTCACAGGAGAAAGATGATTGCCAGGTTTGAAGTTATTATCAAAGAAGTTAAATAAATCAGAACACAGGACGTAAATTAATATCTGATGCAAATATAAGCCCCTACAACATGGGATGGGGGCTGGAAAGAAAAAAGGTCACTCACGCAATGGATTTGGGAATTAACCAAAAGGGACACACAGCACTGAAGGTACATATAAAGTAATGGCCAATTTTCCTCTAACTAGAATTTGTGGATATATGAAGGTGTATATATATTCAACCTTCTATCAAGTTCCAAACAATTTTTTTAGAAAACTCTGTTTTAGGTTTAGATCCTTTATACAGTGTCCTAAATCAAAAGTGCAATTTGGATTATTTTTGTGAAGCAGAAATAAGGCAGGGGACACACTCACTCAGGGCAAAGTTAATGTAAATATGAAACTGCTGTTGACTCAACTCCCAAACCGAAAGGCTAACGCATGCAACTGCAGGCTGAGCGGGAGCTCACCAGTTTTCGGACATCTTCACTCCACACCTCTCCTTTTGCAGGCTGCTCTGCATATAATGAAATCCCCAATAGTCTGTTTAGCAAAATATTCAGGCCCTCCATGCATGCTCCAAGAGAGAAAAACGGGCAATATAGGCTGGGCTCAATATTATACCTAAGAGAAGGAAGAGAGGTTCAACAGCATCTTTGTTTATTTCAATTTCTGAAGGTAAATTCAATTAACTTTCCATTTAATACTTAAGACCACTGGAGCTAAAGAAGGATTCAAAACATAAAAGTACATTTATATCATTTGAGGGGTTTTCAGACAGTGTCCTTCAGAATGACAGTCTGATTATTACTAGTGTTAGTCATAAGTCAGTAATTAAGGTAGACATATCATTCCCTAATCTTTGTCCCTTCCATTTTATTTACTCCTTTACTAACCCAGTTAAGCACTGTCTCAACTGCTCACTGTATACATACTTATATGCAAGATATGACCAGTTTCAGTTATAATGGTAACTCTTACCTCATGAGTTATATTCTAGAAACTCATGACTTATATCACAAAAATATTAAATGAATAAAAACCCGAGGCACATTAAGTGAATTTAAAGTTCTCATCCAGTAAAATATTCATTTATGAAAAAAAATGCCTGCGATATAAAGAATAAGATCTTAATTTATCTGTTTTATAGTTAGATATCTTAAATTAAGGACAACATAACTAGTAAGGTGAATTATTCTTCACCCAAAAATAACTTTTTCTGTTCTATATATTCCAACATAAACCAAAACAATACATTTGAGTCATTAAGTCAAGCCAAAATATATAACCACAGCCAAAAATAATGGCTCTAGAATATTGTAGGTCTTCATTATACATCTACTTTTTGGGATTACCAAAATATGCATTTTTTTTCAATTGGCTTTATTTGTGATTCTAAAACTGCACAACATTTCGTTCCATAAAATAAGAGTCCCTACAAAGTTATATATAAAATATATACAAATATAGTTACTACTAAATGAATGAGTTTAGCAAGTGAACATAAATTGCACAACAAATGAGACTTTGGCTATGGACATCCACAAATTTACATCTTAATTTCTGACTGATTTTTCATTAAACAGAATCCTAGTGTTGAAAGAGACATTCATGACCAGTGCCCTGGCTCCCTGGTTCGCTCACTTAAGCATGCCATCGGCAAACCTGCGGGGTGCTGGAGGAGAGGCATCAAGAGGCTTTGTGTCTAAGCAGCTGGCACTGAAGGAGGCAGAGGAGTGAACCAACTACACTGTGTCCTGGGCCTGCAGCAGTGGGCACACAGCTGGCGCTCAACAGGCAGTGCTGAAGGATGAATGAATGAGCACTGCACAATGGGAGAGCAAAGGAGAGCGTGATGACTTTACTTGTGGAGTGCAGAGTAGCACCAGGGAAAGCTTCTCGGATAGGAATTAAGAAAGAATTGGCCGGGTGCTGTGGCTCACGCCTATAATCCCAGCACTTTGGGAGGCTGAGGTGGTGGATCACAAGATCAGGAGTTCAAGACCAGTCTGGCCAATACGGTGAAACCCCATCTCTACTAAAAATACAAAAATTAGCCGGATGTGGTGGTGGCTGCCTGTAATCCCAGCTACTCGGGAGGCTGAGGCAGAGAATTGCTTGAACCCAGGAGGCAGAGGTTGCAGTGAGCTGAGATCACGCCACTGCACTCCAGCCTGGGTGACAGAGTGAGATTCTCCATCTCAAAAAAACAAACAAACAGAATCAGACTTTGCAAGGCAGGGCTGGGATGAGGAATGGAAAATGGGAATCATAATAGGAATTCTGGGCGGAAGCGATGGTGTAACTAAAGTAGGACGGCATAAAATAGCCCAGTAACTTCTAAAAAGGATGTGGTTAAAGACAAAGCAGTTACCAACGCAGGGATAAATGGAGAAAGAATGGGAGCAGAGTCTGGAAAAGGCAGGCAGGGGCCAGAAAACAGAGGGCCTGGTCCACTAAGCTGAGGAACCGGGACAATGCACCACAGGCCACAGCCTCTAAGCTTCCTCACCAATGCATACTAAAATAACTTTTGAGTATTCAACCTTCTGTAAGTACATTTATAAAGTATACTCATGTGGTATTGTTTTATCACACTGCAAAAAGGAGACTTTTAATAAGTTGAGATAAAGAAAAATAAATATACATAGAATTTCTAGTATTTTATGACTACACTCTCAATGAATTGCTTACAGATGCCATGTGGGAGAGAGCTGCTGTAGGCCGCAGTGGAGCATCTGATGTTTTCTGGAATGCTGCACAGTGGACAGCGTGGAGGGTGGAACGCAGGAGGCAGGGATGGCTGACAGGAGGACTGACTTCCCGGCTTCAGAGGGTGAACTCTGACAGAGGGCAGTGGGGTCAGGGATGAATGTATTTTTCCTTTGAAATGCAAACGTCTCAGGACTGTGTGAGTGACTGGATTTGGAGGGTGATGAGAAAGATAGAGCAATCTAGAATAACACTCAGGTTTCTGGCTTGGACAAATAAGTGGGATGGTAGAGTCACTGAATCAGCCAGCGCAATGAACACAAAAAAAGGAAGAGGGGAATCTGGGTGTGTTTGTGGGAGAAGAGAGGAGGGTGAGGTATAATGATGGGAGGAGGACGGTGGGCTCACAGAAAATAGACTCCGTTTTGGAGACACCGACTGTGAAGTGCCCATGAGATGCCAGACACTCAGGACTCAAAGCTAAGGAGAACAAGGAGACTTCGCTGTCTGGATGTTAGAGCTATAGAGGGAGGCAGGGCCATAAGGGACGGGCGATGCAGGCTGAGAAGAGGTAAAAGGGTAGACCCCTGAACTATCAGAGGGAGGATTGGGAAGGAAGACAGAGAACAGTTCAGAGCTACTGAAGAACTAAGAGAAAGGAGTACCAAGGAAAGAGGGGAGAAAATAAATTATAAAAGGAAGTGGTCCAGGCTTGAGGTTTCCACTCCTGCACACGAGAAGGTTAAAAGTCACCACTCCATCCTAACAAGCAGGAAGCTGAACAAACTGAAAATCAAGAATCTTCTTAGACTCAGCAGAGATTCAAGGCCACAGAGCAAACTGCTGCCCCCAAAACTGGAAAGATAGGCAGGCAGACATAGAGAATCGCATCACCACTGAACAGAGCAGAAACCTCCCACAGAACCGACTACCAAGGCAAGGACGTCTAAACTGTAATTGGTTATAAAAGCAATTCCCTTTTGTTGTCAGATAATAAAAACCAACCCCAAAATAAAGGAGAATAAAAAGAAACTTTACATATTAAAATTATACCCTTCTTAAGATTATAATGAACATATGATATTTATTTTTATGGAAAAGAAACACAGTAAAGCTAATAGCACAGCTTAGTTTACTAAACTATAACCTAAAAATATTTACTGACTTATCCAATGACCATGACATTCATATGTGTCAGGCAAAATTCAAGGAAACAATTTATCTTGGAAAATTTAAGTATAGAATATAAGTTTACATAATATTACACTAAAATGATTGGGAACAAATGAATTTCTAAACTCCCTGTTTTAAAATAAAAACACCTCAAAAATAGTAACAATGGGCAAAGAGTATACTGTCTTGCCCCCTGCCTCACTATGCCCACCCCCAGAGGTAAGGATCTTGTGTATCCTTCCAGGCATTTTTTATGCACACTCTTAGAAGTTTATGCGTGTAAACTGTATGGATATATAAACCTACTGTGGCACAAACGGAATCATACCATTCAAACCATCTCGCAATTTCATTTAACATAAAACTATATCAATGATGTGTATTTTTTACACATATATTTTTCATAAAAATAGAACTTGGAATACTTTCCAGTGTAGTATGTAAAGCTCTATCCCATTTTCTTTCATGGGTGTCGTCATCCACAGCAAACACATGACAAAGCTTATTTCATGCATCTCCTGCTGTGTTGTACGTGAGCAGAGAGGAGGCAAGCCAGTGAGAGCCTGAAGCATCAATGGGGGAAGTATCTGACCATGGACGTCGTTTGGAGTTTCTCACACATGGGGATATTAAAGGTCCCAGACTTTTCATCAGTTTTATTATTGACTTTAATTTCTTTACAGAAAATGCATCCCATTAGGCCACACCCAGAGCTCACTTCCCTGCCTTGGTCTGCCTCTGTTCCTTTGAACTGACAGTAAGCTGCTGTTAGTTTATCTGTTAAATGATGCCATAGTGAAATGTCCTTGTCACACCCACACAAGCCTATCCATAAGATAAGTTGAAGAAATGACATTGCTGCAAAGAGTATGAGATCTTAAATTTTTTGATAGGTATTTCCAAATTATCCTCAAAAAAAAAAAAAAAGCTATTCTAACTTACATTCCTACCTACAGTGTATGAAAATACCCAGTGCCCTCACTCCTGCCAATGCAATTCTGACATGTTTCTTTTAATGCTTCCTTTATTTTCCTTCTTTGGGTAGGTGTGCTGCATTTCCTTTTTCTTTCTAATCACTTGATATCTTAGTGATATCTATAGTCTATATTTTAGCTTCTCTGGTGGTTTCTCTTTTTTTTTTTTTTTTTTTTTTTGAGACAGAGTCTCACTCTATCAACCAGGCTAGGGTGCAGTGACATGATCTCAGCTCACTGCAACCTCCACCTCCCGGGTTCAAGCGATTCTGCTGCCTCCTAATTTTGATACTTTTGGTAGATACGGGCCTCTGTTGGTTTTAAAATAAACATTTTTTGGTTTAGCAATTTTAGATAGTATTGACTGATTCCCTCCTCCTGCCTTGCCCCCCTGATCTGTCTTGTTGTTATATATAGATATAGATGTATTGATGTCTTGTTATATATAGATATAGATGTATTGATGTCTTGTTGTTATATATAGACATAGATGTATTGATGTCTTGTTGTTATATATAGATATAGATGTATTGATGTCTTGTTGTTATAGATAGATATAGATGTATTGAGGTCTTGTTGTTATAGATAGATATAGATGTATTGATGTCTTGTTGTTGTATATAGATATAGATGTATTGATGTCTTGTTGTTGTATATAGATATAGATGTATTGATGTCTTGTTGTTATATATAGATATAGATGTATTGATGTCTTGTTGTTATATATAGATATAGATGTATTGATGTCTTGTTGTTATATATAGA